ATATATATATATATATATATATATATATATCAATCATTGATTCACAATAAACAAAAGATCTTCAAAGTACATATCATAATGTCAATAATTAATTCACGGTCAACAAAACATCTTCAAATATATCCTAATCTCAATTATCATTTATAATCAAAATAACATTTTCAATCTATTAAAGTAAATTGAAAAATCTACGTCTACATCTAAGTTTCTTCATCTTCGAATGATTGAAAATCTTCATTGATATTATCTTAGTTGAAGAGAATCACTTACTAGGGCAGCGAAGCTCTTAGTTGAAGGAGATAATTATGTGTGCGATGGGGTTTAGGTTATGATTTGGGAGAAGAATCGTGAGAAGAAATGGTTAGGGTTAGGATTCTGAGTTATTTGGGAGAAGAATCATGAGAAGAAAGGTTTAGGTTACGTTATTCATGAGAGGAAGAATTGTGAAGGACAAGAATCATGAAGGCGACTGTTTTGGTGAGTTTGGGGGGAGTATTTTTGTTTTTTGCGGTATGAGTTTGTGGGGAAGAATTTTCGTTTTTTGTGGTATGAGTTTGTGGACCATGTTAATGAAAGAGAACAGATTTTGTTTCAACCCATGTTTCAACCCAATTTGATTTCAAAGAAAGGCAATTTTGTAAAATAATCATTTTTAATTAAAGAAAAAAGAATAATGACATACATACATAAATATGTTATTAAAATAATAAAATTTATATGAGAACGGTTTAAAACCATTGCTAAAGAAAAAAGATAAATTGTTATCTACATAAATTATTTTGAGTCGTTGCCTAACATTTTCAAAAAAAAGAAATACGCTACCACAATGAAATTTTTTTTTTTGGATATTACTCTCTATAAGAACAATTATTTTACCTCCTAAAAATTAGGCATTGCGATAGAGTAAAAATGTTGTAGTGTATGCAATGTTTTGAGTGTATTATGATCTTCCAGTTACCCTTAGGGGATAGGATTTTTGTATAGGCTTATGAGCCTAGGGTTTTCTTGGAAATAATAACCGTCCACTCAATGGTGAACAATTGAATCACTATTTCTTAGGAATACGTGGATCAACTTATTATCCATGACTTCACTTCGAGTGAAGAACGTCTTTTCCACACGTTTCCCCTGTCTGGACGAATATAGAGCATTAATGGCGAGATAACCCATAACGGCGGACGACATATGGGCGTCTCCCCTCATAGGGCTACAATTCTCTCACCCTTACTAGGCCTTTTACAAATACATCGCTACAAAATATCTAGCAGATCTCTTCATTGTGATGTATGAGGTGACTGTCTCATTTTTCAAGTGATTCTCATAGAGATCTCACTTTGAATTGAGAATGATCTATTTGTGCTGACTTTATACATTAGATTATTTTGACTGATTGGGTCTTTGCTTTGAGTCTGATTGGCCCATAACGTTTATTATATAAAAATTCATGTTTATAACTAAAAAAATGCATCCCTATTAAACCATTACACTTTTTTTTGAAACATTGTTGATTTATAAATATCCATAATTTATTTACATTAATGCATAAACGTAAATAAATATTATCGTCGTGAATCTAATCTTGAATCAACTTCATACATTTATTTAACTCAACTAATACTTATTAGTTGAACCATCTCACTCACCAAACTATTACGCATTTTAAAATAAATATTTATTTATTTTGAAATTCAATAATAAAATCTTTGAATATTTTAGAATTTATTAAAATTTAAAATAGTATAATATGCAATAACAAATCAATTATTTTTTATTAGAATACATATTAAAATAGGATTAATACATATTTTGCCGCTTACCATTCGAGAAGAATTCGAAAAACAACCTTATAAAAAAATACAGATTTCATATTTGCCCTTTCAAGATTTATCTATTTTGACCCTTAAATAGATTTAGTCAAAAAAAATATGTGACGTGGTGCAATCATATAATTTTTTTATTTTTTATTTTTTTATTGTGATGTTGAAATGCCACTGAAATTTAAAATATATATATTGAAATGCCACCTTCCGTAGGCATTTTCGGGGAGTAGCCTGCTTAAGCATACACTTGTATTGGGCTGCGGAGGATCCCAAATCCCGGGGATCCCGAGGCGGCTCCCGCTCCAAAATAAGACCATCACTGGAAAAGAAATAACAAATAATACAACACCCTCACGATTTAAAAAATGAATATTCGTCAAGGTCGGCATCCCGGATTCCCTTGTTCTGGATATCGGCAAAGATCAAATCAGCCTCATGTAAAAAGGCATTGTTATTGGGGTTTTCCGCAATAACTTGCAAGATGTGAAGTAGGCCTTCTTTACTATTTAATCTATCTTTCGCAACGAGCTCAAAGACCCACCGCGCCTTGTTGTGTGACAGCATCGGTCCCCCATCAGGTGTCCCCATGCTATGGACATACGTCAGAATAACACGGTGAAGAGCCCAATACCCGTTCGGTAGGTTTGGACTCTCATGGCGGTCATCTGTGTACACTGGGGGTTGTTGCTCCGGTGGATTCGCTACAGGTGGTTCTTGTTGGCCGGCAATCATAGGGTAAGCGGAGAAAGTTTACATGTTGGGCCAGGCTAGTTTGCTTCGATGGTAGGAGTCCACGCAGTGAGGCAGCCATTTCCAGTGACCTTTTTGGGGGTTGGTTGTATACGAGGCAATCGAATATGGTCCCTGTCTGTCATCCAATCCAATAGGCATTTAGGGATCCCCGATTGTAGATTGTAGTGAGCTTTTGGTAGTCCTATGCTTGTCTCTCCAGCTTGTCTATGTCTATGGGTTTGCATATGTCTTTTCAAGGGCTGGCTTTTTATAATGACCTTAAATGAAAGCGCAAGAGCTAATGATAAGGAGCTAAAGGCCTACATTCTAGTATACCAGGATCGTCACGAGAGGATTGGGGAAGGTCTAACTATGGACCGGACCATAAGACGCAGTTTATTATGGCCTAGTATAGGATATCTTTCTGTTCCGCTGAAAAGAGATAAGCACTAAGAAGACGACTATTTTGTGTTGAATATGCTTTCTTCCACATAGGCTAGCTTCCTCCTTGTGGCGAACAAGACTGAGAATTCTTTATTCTATTTAGATATATATATATATATATATATATATATATATATATATATATATATATATATATATATATATATATATATATATATATATATATATATATATATATATATATATATATATATATATATATATATATATATATATATATATATATATATATATATATATATATATATATATATATATATATATATATATATATATATATATATATATATATATATATATATATATATATATATATATATATATCTATTATAATATAAGAATACGAGTTACGCTCTCTCTTTTTTCGCCCTTCTTCCCGCTATACTTATCTCTTTTAGACCTTGTCATAGACTAAAAACCCCATCTTATTTTTATGATTCGGATTAGTTCAAATAGCCTTGATAAAGACCAAGGCCCAGGGCATAGGATGGAATGATTTTCCTCACCAAAGCCTTCGATCATCATGGAATCACGCACGTTGAGAGATGAGTGATCCACGCGAACTAGCCAAGTGCAAAGTCTTAGCGCGGGGACCCCTCCACAGCTAGGTTATTTATTTCCTATACCAAAGCTTTTTGGCTGGGCTGGGCCTATTGCAAGCCCACGTCAGGTTTTCCAATGACTTTCCTTTACCTTGTCCTCTAGTTGGTTGGCCGAATCATCTCTTCCACCGTAGTGGGAACACTTTTGTCTAGCTGTTATAAACATATGAAATACCGGCCCAGTTTGTATCAGGGCTTCTATTTGTGGAAGCATGTAATCTTTAAAAAAAAATAACCTGTAGCTACGGCCGTCCCTGAACTTTTACGGCATTGCCCATGGCATGGGCATGAGCATAACACCTACGTATAGGTAATACCTCCCTATATTCTTTGCAAGAGACCATTCCCTCACAGTCGATACTCCTTCTTGCTACAAAGGCACCCTTGAAACTTGGAAGATTTATTATAGTAAGATGGCAGGCAAAGTCTAGCAGGGGCAAGCCTAAACCTCTACTCCCACCGTCGTAGCCTATTCAGTGAGGAGGGCAGCATCTACCTTTGAATGGAATCTAGCTAGGTAAAAAGGTATACCTCGACCTGGGGTGGGGGAAGAACAAAGAAAACCGCAAAGAAAGAAGGGACAATCTATCTGAATTAGAGATTGCACAGGCTTTCTTGAATTAATTACTTTCCGTGGATCTATTTGTAAAGCTTTATATCTTCGCTTCGGGCTTATAGAGCCTAACGGAAGAACTTTCTTTGGTATTGGGTAGGTGGATTGGAAGAAGAGCAAGGTAATTGGTTTGCTAAATAGAAATGGAGATGGTTCTTCTGGGTTCAAATCCCCGTCTTTGAATTGGCTCGATCTGTATTGGCCACATCCTCCATTGGTAAGCATCACTAACTAAGAGTTGAGTTGCATCTTTGCTTCTCTTTCTTTCCTGGTCTTTTCGGAGGGTAAAGGTGAACTCTGATGGGTGCGCCAAGGGGTGAGGCTGGATAAAATCATTAGATATGCTCGTGGGCTTGTGACTTGGGAATCTGTAGCCGTCTTAGGCGGTCCGGTACCTTCGTGGTACTAACATGGTCTACAAAACCTAAGTTAGTTCGCATCCAGTCATGGATGTATGACAGTCATGCAGCTCACACCTTAGGTCATACCAAGGTGCCATATCTATATAGGGTTCCCACGCAATGATGGGTTGGTGTCGAAGACCAATCTTGTGAAGGACGCAGAGGGCTAATTCCTTCTCGTCGCTCAATTTGGAGTAAGAAGTCGGCTACCAGCACGAGTGTACACATCTTGGGATGGTACATCTTGTGACCACCAACATTGCAGGGCACTGAATGATAGTTTTTATTCTCCATATCCTGAAGCCTTGGCTTCGCACCCTAACGGGCTTATGGGTACTGGTGGGAAGAGGGCGTAAGCAAAGTGATTATGAATCGTTTTGCCTCCTTCCCTGATTCGTCTTTCGCCATTACGGCAGTTCTTCGAAGACTTCTCTCGACTCCTAATCTAAAGCTAGTGGAAGTAGTCCTTTTTAAGCTGTTTATGGCCAAAATCCCGAGAGTCCTCTGGACTTAACTCCACTTCCAGCTACTCACAACTTTAGTGGAGATGCGGTTGAAGAAAATTTATAAGTTGCATGAGCGAGAAAATTTCTAACTAAGCAAAATGAGAAGTATCAAGCTCAAGCTAACAAGCATCGCAAGTTTTTTGAGTTCAAAGAAGGTGATCTGGTGTAGGTTCATCTTCGAAAGGAGCGTTTCCTGCGAGGACAATTTGCTAAGCTCAAGCCTAGAGCTGATGGACCATTCAAAGTTCTCAAACGCATTGGTGAAAATGCCTACAAGATTGAACTACCAGCTGAGTATGAGGTTTCAGAAACACTGAAAGTTTCTGATCTTTTTCCTTATTATGGTGAAGAAAGCACTAACGACTCGGGGGCGAGTCTTCTTCAACTTGACGGGGAAAACTAGAAATAAAGGAAGTAGTTTTGGCTGGGTAAATTTCTTTATAAATGTTATAAATAAAAGAGAGGGGCTTTCTTTCTTCAGCATGTGAGGGAAATGCCCCGGGTACCAAAGTTAGCGGATAAAGAGGGCGGCGGGTGGAGGGAGCTTCACTTACCGAGAGGGATGTTATTCGAACGACAGAATGGACGGGCACGGACATAATGAATCGCCCGACTAGAGCATAAATGCATTATTAGAATCAGAAAAGTAAGAATACGATCTTGTCGCAATGGAATCCGTAACTGCAGCTATTGAGTCTGCTGTGGGCCTAGAAGAGAGCTTTCACTGGCTTTTTATTAGGATGGATGTAGATATAAGTCGTCTCTTGGCCAGGGCATTGGCAGAGCAGCTTCCACTCCTCCCTTCGATAAGCTTCCTTTTTTGGGCACTGGACCTAGTTACCGCTCCATGGGAACTATAAATTCAATCGACATTTTCACGTCACAATAAAAAAAAATCATATAGCATCGCTACATCATCGATTTTTTTGATTAAATCTAATTAGACGTTAAAATAGAGAAATCTTAAAAGTATAAAAATAAAAGAATTTTTTTTAATAACCAAATATTAAAATAATATTTCGCAAATAACCGGGTTTCGGAAAAAAATACGCAAATAACCATGTTTCAGATGACTCCCCAAAGGAGGAGCCATCTGAAATGGCGCATGCACCTATATTTTTAAGGGAGGCGCCATCTCACTTGGCGCCTATGTGCTTAGGGCATGCCCTAAGCCAAGTGAGATGGCGCCTAGGTGTATTTTTAGGGCAAAAAAAAATTATTTTTTTTTCTGGTGCATTGCGTGTTGGACAGAGATCAACAAAATGGACTTTTTATTAAAAAAAAATAATTACATCCAACTGTATTACATTAAAATAACAGTAAAAAAAACAGATTAAAAAAAATGGATACAAAAATACTGGGAAAAAAAAAGATACATCAGTGATCCCCCGGAACCCGGTAATGACCCCCGGTTCCGCACCCCCGTCCTCGCATTTCTCGTGTTGGGTGCCGTCGCGTTTCCTGCTGCGGCAAGGTCGATGGCCCAACGAAGTCAATGCGGTCCGAATCCATAAAATCAGTCAGATCTCCATATCTAGAAGATCCGCTCTGGTACAGTCGGTTACCCATACCCTCAAAGTTTGGTCGTGTTGGCGGTGGGTGGGGTTCCATGGTTGGTCTGTAGCATTAGTCGTCTGAGTACGGGGGGTAGAAAGAAAATGGATCTTGGGGTGTTTGGTATTGAGGATGTTGGGTGGTTTGGTGATATTGTGGGTGATGGTAGGTTTGGTCGGCTTGGTCGTAATCTTCCGACATTCTTATATCAGGGCTAAGGCTGGATGTTGAGGGCGCCATATTGGGATATGTGGAAGACTGAAATTGTGTGTGGGGTATGTGGGTGTGCTGGTATTGTGGTTGGGTTTGAGGCATATCGGGGTATTGGTAGTTTGGTGGTGATTGTGGTTGGTTGTACGGAATTTGATTGTAGTTGTGTTGTGGTGGGGAATGTGGTTGGGTGTTTGTCGGTCTGTTTCTTCTTGGGGGTTGGTGGGAGGTTGATGGGTTTTGGGTTTGTTGATGGGGAATCGAGGGTTGTGCCCATTGTGTGCGTGGGTCAACCAAGTACCTTGGATGAGACACGTGCATTTCTGGGTTACTAACCGACCTGTACCACGACAAATATTGATCCGTGTGTCGCATATTACCTTGAGTAAGGAAAACCGGGAATTGCAAGACGTAGAGGTGACGCCTCTTCCACATCTTACACCATTCCGGAGCGAAGTCTTTCCAGTTGGTAAGACCCCACTGGGCGTTGACCCTTTTAAGATGCCATAGGGACAAACAAGTTGGATCACTTGGTATCTCCTGATGCATTCCGAACTGCATCTTCACACGGTTGCTGTGGTGCATCTCCACAATGTTGAACCGAATGATTGCAGTCTTCGCAGTCCAAGTTGCTGCATCCTCCGGGTTTGGATCATGGCCCAAACCCAAATATGGTCTCCAGACGAACTGCGATAAAATTTAAATCAGGTTAGCGCAAAAGTAATGTATAAATAATTTAAATGAACAAAAGTTAAAAGCTACGACGTACGTCATCCGAGCCTAAGTGATCCAACAGATTGCGGTAGAGTGCGACATTGAATCTTGGATTCTTGCCGTAATCCATACCCCTCACACAGTACCTAAAGGAAATGAGAAACATTTTATTCTTAGCATATATTTTGGGAAGAGAAGAATAGTTATAAATGCTATAACTTGATGACTTACTTTGTTGCATACGGGAAACCGAAAGTGTTGTTGTTGACGGGTTTTAAGGACTCCATCCTCCACCAACCCCAGGCTTGTAGTAAAAAAGCGCACCCATAAAATGTACATTTTTCCTTGACTGCGTTTTTGCACAAGGAACTGTATAGGTGGGCTAATACTGCAGAACCCCAACTATATTTTCTTGTTTTTTCAAAATTTGTTAGTAAATGTAAGTACATAAAATTTACACTATTTCCCGTACTTTCGGGAAATAAAAATGTACCAAAAAGTATCATAAGATACGTTCTGGCTTTTACTACTCTGTCATTCTCTGAGGAATTTTCATTTAATTCCAAACTTGCATAATGACGTTTCAGCTCAGTGAGTAGTATTCCCTGCCCTCTTGCACCACCACCTTCTACCATATCCCTATCCAACAGTTCTTCACACTGAGAGTTGGGTTGTTGAACCGACCCGTTCACGGCCTTACCGTTGACAGGGAGACCCAGTAGCATGTACACATCCTCTAGCTTGATGGTACATTCACCTATTGGTAGGTGAAATGTATGGGTCTCCGGTCTCCACCTTTCCAACATTGCAAGAATGAACTTCGAGTCAATGGTGCAGTTGGAGATCTTTATCACATGTCCAAAACCTGTGTATTCCAGATATGGGACGATGAATGGGTCGGGAGCCAGGTAGTTGTGCGAACGGATTCTGAATCTTTTTGTGTCCTGAGTTCATAATTTAACAGGTGTAAGATTAATTAAGATGAACAACGCGTTATTTGAAGTATGAAAAATGTATAACCAAAGAAGAAACTTACAAATGCAGCAATGTTTTCCCTTGTGCCTCTGTGAGTATCGCCCATTGTTAGAAGAGCCATTATTTAAAATGCTTGAGAGTATGAAAGACTTAGGAAGAGATAGAGAGTATGATAGACTTATGAAATATTTCGTAGCAGAGAGTGAGACTTGTGTGGGTGTGAGAGATGTATGATATGGTATGTATTTATAGGCAAATAAGTTTGATGTAGTGGTTGCTTGTGCTTGCATGCCTGCAAAGTGTCACATTTACATGCTTAGGGGGTTACACATATGCATGCATGCATGTACAAAAAATGAAAGGTGTCACTCTTGCAGGCTAGGTGGCAGCCCATGCATGTATCACGATTGGACAGTAAGGGAGGCGCCATTGGACTTGGCGAAAGAGTACAAAAATGAATGGTGTCGCCACCCCAATTGGCGAATAAGAGGTGTCCTTTGTTACAGCCTAGGCTCAGGCTACGTGACAGCCTTGGGGGATTCCTTTCATTATTGCATGTAAGCCCATTGGAGTTGATGGGAGGAGTCTTACAAAATACATGTATATGTGCAGAATAGGGCCAGGCTAGGTGGCAGCCTATGGGGTTTCATTATTGCATGTAATATTATTGGCAGCCTTGGGGGGTTGCATCCTTACTTAATTGAAATTTTTAGCCTTACGTTTATCATAACATTGATTCACATAATCTGTCAAATCTTCCAACCTTGAAACGTTCTTACAATCAAACATTCCAACCTTCGAATCAGTCATCAAATTCATACATTCCAACCTTCAAACATTACAGCATTCATACCTTCATACAATCAATAAACCTCAAACATTCCAACCTTCAAACCTTAAAACAATTCTACGCAATGGCCTCTTCACCACAATTTGTCGTCAAAGCACATTTCAACGGTGAGACATACATTTGTCCCACAGCTGGGTTTTTGTTTAGAGACACAGACAACATTCAATTTCTCTTAAACGGGAAATCCAATTTCTCGTACTTCAAAAAAAGATTGGAGGCCAAACTTGAACGAGGCCCGGTGTCCCAGATATTTTATCAGAATCCAGTTTTCTTTGGAAACAACCAAGTAATTTTTTATAAGGTTGAAGTTCAAGATGACGAGGATCTCCAGAATATGATTTCCAGCCATGTCTATTCTGGATACGACTCTATTGAGTTGTACGTTTTGCTTCAAGAGCCTCTGGTGACACAGGAGGTTGATCCTTTGGAGAATGAACAAGATGAGGTAGATGCAGTTGATGATGAAGAAGAAGATAACGAGTTAGAGTTTGATGAAATGGTGAACGATGATTCTGACGATGATGGCATCCCTAGTATTCCTACAGACAAAATCTACACACCACCTCCGCACATGACAAACTTCAACATGGGCGGAGATGAACCTTCTACTGACTTATTTTTCAAACCGTATATGCAGTCGGATGAAAATTTAAAAGAGAAGGAAAAGTTTCGTAACAGAGAGGAATGCATCAGGGCCATTAAAAAATTTCACATGCTCAACTCGGTTGATTTTAAGGTGGATCGTGTCAACCCGGAAAGGTACAAGATCAAGTGTGTCCACCCTGGCTGTATGTTCAAGCTGACCGCATCATACAGATTAAGGGGTGATTGCTGGGTCATAGGTTCCATGACTACCCACACTTGTGTAAGTTCCACTCAATCACAGGACCACCGAAAACTCAACTATGATCTAATCTGTCAAGAAATCCTACCCCTGGTCAGCAACGACCCATCTTTGAAGGTGAAAACAATCATCTCCCACATCACCACGGTTTTTAACTACACTCCATCTTACCGTAAGGCGTGGTTAGCAAAGACTAAGGCGATTGAAAGGGTGTACGGAAAATGGGAGGAGTCATACCGAGAACTTCCCCGCTACC